TGATGCATATGAACGTAATGTGATGTACGGGTGCTAAGGTTGCCTGAATACCTATTATTACCTTCAGAGTATGTGGGGGCCCTTTACAGGGGTAAGGGCTTCTATTTTACTGAATGAGGTATCCTCCTGGATGATGAGTCCAGGAAGGAAGGACACAACTTTGTTGACAAGAGAGTGTTGGTGTTTCTCCTGTGAGCAACATCTGTCCCCTGAAGAGAAGCTGAGTGCATCAGAAGTTACTTTTTCTATGATGAGAACTATCCATTTCTCAGAAGAGGCTAGGTGCAGGACATGGGTCAAACAGGGCTCAGCAGGCTTTGGTTGGTCATCTAGACATGGTTTCAGGGTCAGCTTTCAGGTTGGTTTGTCATGTGATAGGCTGACTGTTTCCTGTTTTCTTCTGAGCAAATAGGTAGAGGACATTTCTCAACTTCTTTTGCAGTTGACCATGTGATCAAGTACTAAGTGATGGATCATGGTTAGAAGTAGTATGCCTCACTTCCAGGTCTGGGCCCTGAAAACCTCCATGTGTTTTCCTCCATGGCCTTTTTCCTTCCATGGTAACCATGGAATTGTGATGGATTAATGGGAGTGTGGATCCATGAATCATCCTGTGGAGAAGCATTGGTCAGTCATAGAAACCCACTTGGGACTTTTCATGAGTGAGAAAAAAGCTGTAGGGGCTTATTATAGCAACTAGGGCTGCCCTCATCAATACAAACATCCAATGCCAGTTCTTCAAGATGGTGGCCTTTTTTCATCTTATGCACACTGTCGTCATTTTTATTAACTTTACTGAGCACTCAGTGGGTGTCAGGCCTTTACCTGCATGCTTGTATTTAATTCTATTCTTACTAGAGGACCAGCGCATGAAATTCATGCGTGGGTACGGACCCTAGGCCTGGCCTGCAATCAGGGCCATCTTCCCCAGCTACCCGCAGCCGGCCCCACCCCCTGCCGCCACCCAGTCCCTGGTTCCCCGTTCACCATCAGTCAATCAGAGCCTGCCTGCCGGGGAAAGGGACCAAGAGGCGCTCAGTGTGCCTCATAGTGACTGGTTGAGTGGTCGTTCTGCTGTTAGGGTCAATTTGCATATTACCCTTTTATTATATAGGATATGCATGCTTTTATTCAACTCTTTGAGGTCTATTCTATCATCATTTCCACTTGACTGATGAGGAAATAGACTCAGAGGGGCTATATCATGTGTCCAGGGACACATAGGCTGTAAGGGGCAGAACCATGACTTGAACCAGATCAGTCTGACTTTGGAATTTGAGTTACTAACCTCAGCGCTCAACAGCCACTCTGTCACAGCCACTATCCCCACATTGGAGCCTGGCCATAGCTGCCCATATCTCCTTGCCCGCTGAAGAGCAGGATGGACCTGCACATTCATGGGTTTATCTGGAGACTGTGCTACAAGTTGATATTCCCACACATTACTGGATGTCATGAGGCTGCATGGCTTGGTCAGAATTCTCATAGCTGTGGCAGTAGCTTGGGGATCTGTAGTTAGAATTGCAGAAAAAAACATGGGGAGGGATGAGCAACAGAATCTTGCAGGATAGCCTCCCTTGGGGAAGGGATAAAGACTTAGATCTGCTTTTTCCGAGAGAACTGGACTCAAATGAGACATGAAGATCTTCATTGAGCAAAGTGGCACTTGAGGGTCCATGAATTTTTAGATCTTTCCTGGGACCCAGAGAACCAGAGATGTATTAACTACAGTGCCTGGCATCAAGTAGCTTGCAATTCAGTCAAGTTGGGGAGGGAGGCACACAGATATGTGCCAGGATATGTGCTATGGGAACACAAAGCAGATAGCAATTCCAGTCCATGGCCAGGTTCGAGAAGATGGTTCGTGTGAGTACAGTTCAGATTGGCAGGAGGACAGGCAGAAGAAACAGCATGTATAAAGGCATTCTGGGCATAGCATCACAGGTCAGGAAGTCAGGGGCAGCCTGGGGCATCTGAGCCCAGGCAGGGTGGCAGGAAGCAGTGCTGCGGAAGCAGTTGAAGGATGCTGTTTGTGGCTGGCTTAGGCGATGAGGAACTAGCAAAGTGGGCAAAAATCCTCTAGTGTCTGGAACCAGACTGGTGCTGGGGAAGTAGGTAAGTAATAGAGCTGAACCAAGGTGGGGGTGGGGTGAAGAGAAGAGGCTTGAAAAGTTACGGAGGTGGGCTCAGCAGAGTTTGGCTAATGATTGGGTGCTGGGAGGTGAGCAGAGAAGTGGGTCCAGGTTGACTCTCTCTTGGTAACTTGATGCATGATGTTGCCAATGATGGAGCTGAGAAATCCAGAACAGTTTAAGGCACCTATGAGACTTCCAAGTGGGCCCTTGCCATAGGCAATCAGAACAGAGCTCTGCGACTCAACAGCCAGATATGCACTGGGCTGGAGGCCTGTGAGTTTCCAACATGTGGATGATGTAATGACTCTTTTTAAAAATCCTCACCTGAGGATATTCTTTCCATAGAGAGAGTAAAGTGGAGGGAAAGGGGGGTGGGGGAGAGAAATATCGATGTGCAAGAGACACATTGACTGGTTTCCTCCTGCACGAACCCCTACCAGGGCCTGGGATCAAGCCCACAACCATTGTATGTGCCCCTTGACTGGGAATTGAACCTGAAACCCTTTGGTCTGAGGGCCAATGCTCTAACAACTTAGCCATACTGGCCAGGGTGATGTACCCACTCTTAGCTAGATTCAGAGGGAAGCACCAGGAGCATCACTTTTAAGGAATAAGTGTGTTTAGAACCCATCAGGTTTCTGAGTGCTAATGGCTCCTCTGGGGCAGGACAGGGGCCACCTGGAGACAAGAGCTGAAGTCTGTGCTCCAATAAGAATGGGGCTGAGTTGCATTAATCATCACTGACCACAGGCCTCTCCTGAAAGAAGGGAAACATTCAAATCTGAAAAGTGCTTAGTCCAAAAGTATAGAGTTGATCTGTAAGGTGGTCTGTGAAACACATTTGTAGTAAAGCAAAAGACTGCTAGGAAACTCAGTGACAGCTTTCCCTGCAAACATACGTGTGCACACATGTATGTATACACATACCATTTCCTGCTCTGAGTGAGCACAGGCACCTATTTGCAGGGAATCTTTTAAAATGGGGCTCATTACAGCAAGAAATGGAGCCAAGTAAATGTTTTAGAATAACTCAGACCCTTATAGGACTCTTTAGCACTCAGTGATCAATTAAGATTTAGTGCCCTTTGACAGGGTGAAATATAGGGTTCTCTTCCCAGGGTCTTCAGCCCCCTCCAACATCTTCTAGAATCAGGGCTTGAGCCCCTTAATTCTGTTGGGCCTGTTAAGCACAGCTGCCTCCAGGAATGCTGCTCTCTGCTGTTTCACCATCTCTGTCAGGCAGCCAATTTGAGATGATCTTGAGGGTTGGTCACACTGATGTTAGGTACACATCATGGCATGTCCCAAATATAGGTTTGGCCATCAGAGTAATAAGGACTTCTAACTCTGTGGCCTCCACAATCATAGAGTCATGGACTGTTGGAGTTTGAGGGACCCATGGAATCTAACCTCAGTTTACCAGTAAATGGGAGACCTGCCCATTTGGTTCAATGGTCAGAGCATACTAGTAATTGTCCTCTAGGAAAAGCTTGCCTGGTGCCCCAAAATGGGTAGAGGCCTCATCACAGCCTCTCTTCTAGCACCCTGCACTGGCCTTTCACCACTACCATTTAAACAACTGTAGGGTTTTTGTCTCTCTTCCCCACCTGCTCTGTGAGAACAGGGACCACACTGTGTTGTGCACTGCTATTTCCATTCCCCAGCATAGTTCCTGCAGAGAATGCATGGTGACTTAAATGCTGTTAGCATTTCAGACTTTACTGTGTGGTGCTACACTCGGAGCACAGTCATGGGCAGACTCAAGAACTTGGAGTCTGATGGGAGAAATGGGGGTATGTGCCTATCATGCATGAAGCACATGGGAGCCTAGAGGGTGGAGCATCTGGATTAGAGTACTCAGGGAAGGGTTGGCAGAGGGCAGAAAGCAAGTGTGAAGGATGGAGGAGGTCCTAGCCAAAGCACAACCACTGCAGAGGAAGGCATTTGGGGGGACTACACACAACCACCAGAAGCATAAAATAAAGCTGGATGGGTGTGCCAGGCCTAGATTTTAGGGCTGCTGGACAGGCCAAGGGTCCCGATTTTATCTTGCAATTTGGCAGCCAGGGAACACTTTAAGACCAGAGCTATGATATATTCAGATTTGTGTGTTTAATGATATCGGGAGGTGGATTACAGGAAAGGGGGCCAGTGGTGGGAGACCTTTTCAGGAGACATTTGTGATCATTCAGTTAAGATAGTGATGACCTGGATCTAGTCATAGTTGGGGTAATGAGGAGAGGACCCCACAGAGGTGTTGAAGAGGGGACATCCTCTGGACTGAGTGGCATTTTGGATGGGAATGGGAGGAGCAGGGAAGCAAAAACACTTCTGTAAGGGCAGGCCTGTTCAGCAGACCGGAAGTGTCCAGGGGCCTCTTATTCCAATTTGGCCACCCACTGAGCTCCTGTGAGCTGTTCCTGCCTCTCACAGATGAAGGATTGTAAGGTACAGATGCTGCTTTCATCAAAGAACATAGGTATCGGGCTTTAAAGCTTCATTCTAGGACAGGTGACATCGTTTTTATTTTCTTTTATGAAGACTTCAGCAAATGTATTAGTTCCAGTCTCCAGTATATGAGAATGCATTATTAAGTGTATAAAACATAGCCAAGAATTCCCATTTTCTTTTACATCATGCGGCATAAAAGCAAGACACTTAAGAACAGTCACTGCCAAAGTAACCTTTAAATGGAAAGGGCTGATAAAATTGATGTCATGGTATAAAATGTAAAAAGCTAAGCCATTCTCTCTTTAGGGGCCACAGCACCTCAGCATAGAGTATTAATAGGGCTCGGAGGGCTGCTGCGGGCAGTACCTATTTCTCCCAGGGGCCAGAGTATAAGGGGAAAGAGAAATGGCGCTGTCCCAATGATCCTGATGGTGTGCCTCTTGCCTCCCCAGTGTGTTTACTGATCCAGCTCCAGGGCCATCGCCATGTCAAGCAGGGGCGGGAAGAAGAAGTCCACCAAAACCTCCAGGTCTGCCAAGGCAGGAGTCATCTTCCCTGTGGGGCGGATGCTGCGGTACATCAAGAAAGGCCACCCCAAGTACAGGATTGGAGTGGGGGCGCCCGTGTACATGGCTGCTGTCCTGGAGTACCTGACAGGTGAGTACCCAATTCAACTGTGACACCACTGGCAGTTCTGACGGCTTTTTTGTACATTTCTTTTATTTTAAAACTTTTCAAACCTATAGTAAAGTTGTAAGAATAGTACAATGAACATTTTTCTCTAGATCCACCAGTTGTTAACATTTTGTCCTCCCAACTGTGTGTGTGTGTTTGTGTGTATGCACGCATATGTATGCATTTTTAAAATATATATATTTTTATTGATTTCAGAGAAGAAGGGAGAGGGAGAAAGAGATAGAAACATCAATGATGAGAGAGAATCATCAATCAGCCGCCTCCTGCATGCCACCTATTGGGGATTGAGCCTGAAACTGGGCATGTGCCCTGACCAGGAATCGAACTGTGACCTCCTGGTTCTTAGGTCGATGCTCAACCACTGAGCCATGCCAGCTGGGCTATACATTTATTTTTGACTGTTATATATTATATGGTTTATTTTGAAATTCCCTTAATTGTCCTAATATCCTTTATAAATTTATTTGGCTTTCTTTCCTGATCCAGGATCCATTTCAGGATCATACATTCTATTTGGCTGTCTGGTTTCTTTAGTCTCATATAATCTTAAACAGTTCCTCAGCTTTTAAAAAAACTTTTTCATGACACTGACCTTTTTGAAGAATCCAGGCCAGTTGTTTTGCAGAATGTCCTTCAATCAGGTTGGTCTCATGCTTGGATTCAGATCAAATGTTTTAGTAGGACAATTGTGTAAAAGATGTTGAGTCCTTCTCTGGTGTCACGTCAGGAGGCACCCGATGTGGCTTTGTCCTGTCATTGGTGGTGTTCAGTTTGGTCATTTGATTAAGATGGTGTCTGCAGATTTCAGCCCATCCTGGATCACAATCTTTTACCCAGTAGCTTTAGCATTTCCTGTTGATCTTACCTGAATCTGTTATTTCCATAGTGGTTAAAAAATGGTGATTTTTCCATTTTTGTTATTTCTTCTGCATTTATTATTTGACATTCATCTGTAAACAAGAGCTTCCCTTTTACCCTTCCCTTTTTATTTTTTGTACTATCAATGTTGGTTTATGGATTTTTTAATTTAGTGGCTTATGCACTATCATGTCATTACTCATTATGATGCTCAAATTTCGACTCTCAAGCTGGTTCCTGTGTCCATTTGCCATGTCTCCATCAGTTTCTATAGATTTCTTTGCTTTCTGACATCATGAGTATTCTGGTCTCACCCTGGACTTTGTCTGCCCCAGTCTTGGAATCAGCCATCTCTCTTTGGACCTTTTCATAGATAAAATCTTATTAGTCTTATTGGTGGCTCCATAGCAGTTGTGGGAGGCTAGCTAGAAGGGAAACCACCCCCATTTTTTAGTGATAAGAAAACCAGCCTCAAAACATGAAAGGACTTCTTGCCAGGGGTGGCATATAATCAGTAAGTACTCGAGGAGGGTCCCATATCCTGCTGTCCTGTTATCATGCTATTACTTATTGTTCCATACACTATCAGGGTAGGTGGTAGGAAGAGGCACCTTGATTCTTAGCAAGAGAAGGTACCTCTTCCAAAGTTTACAGTCAGGCAGCGGAAGAGCTGCATCGCTTCTTCCTCTCCCAGGTCTCAATAACACCAAGGGTTTCCCTATGGAAAGCACCATCATAATGGGTGTGTTAATAGTTGTGAGGTTTTGCACATATTCTGGGACTTTTGACTCTCTGCATGTCGGAGACTCTTACAGGTGACATGCCTGGTAGCATGAGCTAGGCATGATTCTTCTCACTATCAAGATAAAGAAACAGAGGCCCAGAATTTATGTGACACATGCTGGCAGCCATCCAGGGAGACCAGCACGGGGGAGGCGCGAGCGATTCATGCACGAGTTGAGTGAGCCAGTCAGTCAGCAGTCTCATTGTGCAGTGGTTAGTGCTAGTCGCGTCTGCAAATCGCACGTGGGTGACAAAAGTACCTACTCGAAGCATAAAGTTACCTGTATTTTTCCAACCAGCTGCAAATCCTACAGGTATTTTTGTCATCAATTTAAGAATTGTAATTATTTTGTGTTGGTGGCTTTATTATTATAAAATGAAACATTTTTTTAGGTGCCCTGTTTGAGATGGCTACAAAGAAGAAGCAAAGAAAAACGGAAGACGAAAACCGTGAATTTAAAGTTGAATGTACCTACCTATATAGTTTAAGTTTAA